CAAGAGACAATAAAATAAGAAAAGAAACACCGAAAACAAGAAAGACACAAAATCAAAGAGAACACGAAAAATAAGATGAATAAGCGCACAAAATATGTCCTAAACCTTCCCCGGCAACGGCGCCAATTTGTTGTAAACATTTTTCTGGAGTAGAATCAAAAGATTCGAACACCGGGTCGTATCTCTCGAGGAAGGTTAGCTGAATTATTATGCACGTTTATTCAATCATACAAAAAGAAATAAAATCCCTAAGCATTCTAAATCAAAGATTGGTTTTCGTTTAATTATCAACTACTGCGAAAATTCAAATAAATAAATAGAAATATCAAGCAACAATGAAGAAAGAGTATGGTTTGAGAAGATAGGGAGTCGGAGATATCCGTTTTGCTTCGAATTGCAATTAATGGGCAAGTCATTGTTCAACTAAGTGATTTGAATAACCGGCACATATAAGTACTCATTCTCAATAACTCTTCGTAACAAGAGAACAAACTAGAACGGCAAATTAACAAGTCATTTAACTCCTAGGCAATACAGTTACGAACAAGCTTAGCTTATGGGAGCCTATTTTGACCAACTCCTCCCCTTTCAGTTCTAAAAGTCGATTAAAGTAGACTAGAGGATGGTTAATCAACTAGTCATTTAAGAATTAAAAAATCAAGCACGAATTTATCGAATTCAATCAAAACAATTGCAAGTTGAAGTGTAACCCTTCAACAATTCTCAATACTCAAGCTAAATAATTGAAAACCCCTTTTAAAAGCTCAACTCGCATAAGAAGATCAATCACGAACACCCACAATCACAATCGATTCCAAAACATCAATTCCCTATTCCCTAGCATATGAATTAAGTTGATCATAATTGAATCATCAACACAAACAATCATATCAATCAAAGAATCCATAATCAACAATTAAGTGAAGAGAAACCCTTACAATTGATAAAATTCCAACGTTGAATCTGATAAACAAGCTTAAATCAAAAAGAAGGGAGAAATCCAAGTGCAAATCCAAGTTCTACGTTGAAAACGATGAAAAAAGGTATAAGAAATGATTAAAGGAAAAGAAATAGGGTTTTCCCGTGTTCAGGGCGTGAGAGGAATAATCTGGTCGTGATCCGTGCACAAATATATATAAGGATAGGTTGTCACGCCGTGCTAGGAGGCTATGCCGCGCCGTGACCAGGTCTCACCCCGTGGAGCTGGAGAGTGCCGTGTCGTGCTGATGGGACGTGCCGCGAGGAACTGTTGTGTCGCGCCGTAGGAGCGTATAGCGCGCGTGAGAAGATTTGGACGGCCACGGCGTGCTGGGTGCCGCGGCACGACACGCGTAAGACTGGATGCTTCTGTCCACCTCGTGGCAAGTGTTGCGGCGCGGCGCGCGCACGATGCCTGGGTTACTGTTTGGACCTTTTACCCGACTTCGCTTCTCGGGCTCATTTGGACTCGGAATTTAATTTCGCTTTTTCCTATATGTCGCCAACAAATTGCTCTCTTTAACAAGGACTGCCCGGTCCATTTATCATGGAAAACAAATCCTCCCGAGTCTTCTAACATGCACTCCAACGACGACAAACAACTGGAAAATGACCGAAAAAATACCAGAAAAACCAAAATAGAGAGAAACACGCAATAAATGACAAAACTAACTAAAAGACCTACTATGGGGGAAAAAGAAAGGAAAAATAACAATGAAAAACGCAACAAAAATGGGACAAATATATTGCAGATAAAGACTAAAAGGAATTCAACTCTAGGGGAGGGATCCAGTACAAAGAGAGAAGAGATGAATCTCACAATGTCCTAACTAAGGAGGTGGATACATAACCAATGCCCAAAGGTTCCAAGAAACTTAATAGCTCCAATAAGCAGATGGTGGTGGCCAACCTTGAAATGCCCATTCATGCTAGAAATCACAATGATTGGCAACATCTTCACTTGTGGTAACAATAGAGAGTAGGAAGAATTTATTGAGGAGAAACTAGAGGGTGTTTGGCTCTCTAGAACGGCTGGCCACTAATCCCACTGCTCTCAGGTTGGAAGCTGGTTTACCAGCTCCTCAGACCATTTTATGCTTATCCTTATAGGTAATTTAGTAATGAGTGTTACGAGAGTATAGTTCATGCGTTTTAGTAATTGACTTGATTCAAGGAATCTATTCACACAGTTAACATAAAATAAATTACATACATACGGGCCATAATAGTCAGATATAAGGCTTCTGCAAAACCGAGTTAAGCAAATGTACTGAATAAAAATGCACATGTACTATTCTACATAATTTTAGCATGATCATAATAAACACAAACGAAAAATAGGGAATTTCAAATAACTTGAGTTTTGTCGAAAACCATGTTTTCATACAAATACAACTTTTCTTCTATGCACAATGAAATATAAAATTAAATTAAGTCGTACAACTTAGTTAATATTGCCTTTGAGACGATACTCAGTTAACAAGACTGGAAAACCAAAAGCCGATCTCATGTTGTTTTTCTTCACCAAGTCGGAATGTCGTATGAACGACAATCTACTAAACATCTTTTGTCGTTCGTATGATCACACGTATCCAAGAGATAGAGAAAGACTTCTCTTGAATTAATCCTTTTAGAACTAGGAAATGCATTCTCTCTCAATCTCGAAAAGTAAAAAAATATCTCTCTTAAAACCTCACGTATGCATGAGTCCGAAGAGTAAAAAAATATGGATTACCATACTAGTGTATTATATAAGCTACAATAAAGACTTGGAGGAGATATTAGAGTTAGTTCTTCTAATATTAGATATACTAAGTTCTGGCGGAATCTACCCCTTAGCCTATCAATAATAGCTCAGTTCACTAAAACCACGTTTGTTATAATGGATAAGAAAAGATTATGGCATTTATCTACCCTTGAGAACACGTTTGTTAAAAGCGATTGTGGCCCGCAAGATTAAGAAGGGCTTGCGACCAAAAAACATTTAGTCAGTGTTTCCCAGGACTATTCCATCATGGGCAAGCGGGTAAGATTATACAAATCTGAACAGTTGACTTAGTGCAAAATGTCCTTAGTGCCCCTAACTTTATAAAAAAATTAGTCATTACACCCTTGTCTGTTTTTAAAATTACCAGTTGCCATTACACCATTGTTACTGTTCAACATTACTTTTATTCCACAAAAAAGTTCATTTTCCTTCCCCTCTTTGTTCCCACTAGTACGAATCTCGTGCGATGCACGTGTAAGAGATATTCATTAATGTTATAAACTAAAAGTGCTCATAAAATAATATTTATAAATTAAATATATGGAATCAATATAATACAATTTACCTATATTAATTTATTAAAAACGTTATATGAAATTTAGATTGCGCAAAATTAAAATTACATAATACATGTCTATTTAAAATTAGTACACAACCCGTACGGTGCATGTAACTGATAACAAATTATATTATATTCATATCATTTTCGATAAGTGCATTTTAAAAAGTTTATTTAGAAATTCAATTTGACTACAATGTGATTCTATAGAATAATTATTTTGGTAAACTTTTATCATATATTTAAAAATATATGTGAATAATAAGTATAATTATAAAACTTACATTGTTTCATTAATTTAGTTGAATTTATTTTGTAGAAGCTATCCGAACTAAAAATTTTAAGTAGTTGAGTAATTTATTATACTATAAATAATTGATTATTCTATTTATTTCCAACTTAATACTGACCCGTAAATTATGTATATTTATTTATTTTAGTTTTAAGTTTGGAATCCAAGTTTTAACCACACAGTAATTTTCCTTAATTATATATATTTATTTTTCAATTTTCTAGATTGTTGTCAGTTACCTTATCGTTCAAATTTATCAACTAAATCTCTATAATTAAAATAAAAATTTTAAATTTTATTAAGCAATGTTTTTTCAAAGATCTTTCTGATTTTCAAGAGAAATACACAAATTTTTTGAATTATCATTTATTTAAAAATGTATATATTTATAGTATAATAATATTAATCAAAGCCAAACATATAAATCATAAAAATTTTGTAGAAATATACATTATTTATTTATTTTACATGTTTTTTAATTCATTTTACCATTAAATGTATTATTTATATTAGCATACCTTTTAAAATCATTTTCAAAGTTACATATTGTTTGTCAAATATTTAATTTGTTAATAGGAACTTTGTTTTTCTTTTCTTTTCATTTCATAATGTAAATTTTCTAGCTCAAACTTTCTTAATATACTAGAATTAATAAATTTTTCTCATGAATATATGGATTTTGATTTCTAAATATAAATTTGTAATACGTTCCTTCCAGTTGATATTCAAAACTTGTGCAAGGTTGCTGACTTGATGATAGCAGGCAAGCCTGAATTGGATACTGAGTTGGTGAAGCAGACATTCAATCCTCTTCAAGCTGAACAGATCCTTAAAATTCATATTAGCAAATTGGGGATCAAGGACAGACTGATTTGGCAGCCTCATAAGAGGGGCATCTTTACTGTCAAGAGTGCTTACCTTGTAATTCAGCATAAAAAAATCTCATGGTGGGCAAAAGGGAGTGCAGTAGAGGCTTGATGTCACAAAAACAAATGTGGAACACAACATGGAAGCTTCCAGTTAAGGCAAAGGTAAAAATAATTTCTATGGAGATGCTTTCACAACTGTTTGGGTACACTTGATAATCTGGCAGAAGGGGTATGCAAGTGGATGGACTGTGTGGCTGGTGTGGGGAGGAAAAGGAGAATTTGGAACATTTGATGTTTTTCTCTGATAGAGCTAGGAAAGTGTGGAAAATTTCTAGAATCTCTTGGTCTAAACTTAGAGATCAGCAAGTGGATTTCAAATCCTGGTGGAAGGAGGTGTGTGCTATTACCTTGTCCTCCTATATCTTGTGGTGGTTATGGAGGACAAGAAATGGGTGGTTATTCAATAAGAAATGGACTTCTGAGAAGCAAGTGGTTGAGGGAGCTATGAGAGAATGGTAGGAGTTTGAATGTAAGGAGTAGGGGTCTTGTTTAAGAGACTCAGTGCTAATGCCTCCTCTGGTGATGCCTTGAGATTTAGGGGACTTGCTTGGGTGAACAATGTGATTGTGGAGGAGTGGAAGTTGTCTAGGTGCAGAGCCCCTTGTACAGTGGAAGCTGAGCTTCTCCAGATTAGAGATTGGCTTTATCATGGAGCAGGTCATCATTGGCACAAAGTTTGGATTCAAACCTTCAATAAGGATCTTAGCTCAAGACTTAACTCTCGTGATTCCTTTGAATCAAGGTTATCTATGGTGGTGGAAGACATTTATTCCTTGCTCTCGGTCTTTTTCTAGTGTAGTTTGT